ATATATATATATGAGGTGTAAAGCAACAATTTTTCTTTCTTTTTCAAGCACTGTTCGCGTCGAAACATGTCCAGAATTATCATACTCATACAAGTTTGCAGAGTGTAGATCGGAGAGAGTGGCATTGTATTGAAAGGGAAGTCATTTAGTAAAGCCCACATAGACTCGATTCGAAAGGAATACGGTCAAAGGGAGAAAACTTTTTTAAACTAATCTAAACTGAAACAAAGGAGAAAAACAATGCCAAACAGCAGTAATAACAATAACAATGAAGCAAATGATTTCGGATAAACCCACGTCATATAAATAAGCCTACATCATAGGAAAAACCGGTAGAGTTGATCGAATAATGTACTCTAATACCTGGACTGTCAGCCAACGCGGGCAAAGCTTTTACAATGGGTATTGTTAACTAGTTTGAGTAAAGAGAAGCACATCGACACAATAACGGTCATTTAGCGCTGGGGAAAAGTAAGACCGACTGTCAGAAACAAGAGAGGGGAAGTGGAGAAGTAAGACCTACCAGTGACGTCCTCCGACCACCCACCACCCGCTCACGAGGCACAATATGTACACAAGCAAACGTATTACATACATGTATATTATATTGTCTACACATATTTCGCACAAAAAGGGGAGATAAAGACGATAGATGTTTGATAGGAAAGAAGGAGCAAACCACACCAGAGCACCCGCCAATCACCCACAATCATCTGTCAGAACACACAAGCTCCGCCTACCTTCTCCAGTGTGGCCTGCTGTGATCCTCCAGGGGGCGGGGCTTTGCCTTGGATCTTGTCGGCATACTGGGGGTAGCGCTGAGCTAACAGCTGCATAAACGCCTCTCGCTTCCTCTCCGTCTCCTGGGAGGAAAAACCAAGGGGATATATATGAAAGAGAGACGAGGACGCAGGTAAAATAGTAATAACATAATAATAATACCAACAACAACCACAACAACAACAAATAATACTATTATGTCGTTGTTGTATTGTCTTATCGTTGTTGTCGTTGTCGTTGTCGTTGTTGTTGTTGTTGTTGTTGTTGTTGTTGTTGTTGTTGTTGTTGTTGTTGTTGTTGTTGTTGAATGCGCACGACAACAGTCACATTTCGCAAGAAAATATGACCAGTGGGGACAGATGTAGAAAGAGGGCGGACAACATCAGAGTGTCTACCTACCAACCACACTGGAAGAGGGAGTTAATTCGAAAGATCACACAGTATGTATATTTTTTTAAGGTGTTTTCTATAGAACATTCGAAGGCTATCAAAACGAGCGTGCTACCAATAGCACATGTGAATCACCCGACTAACTTTGAAAGACTGCGGAAAAGAAAACAACACTTATAAGGCCCACTGCCACTTATGGAGGTGCGAGACTCAAGGGTAAAAGAGAAAATTTACGACAAATTATTTGATACGAAAGAAATTACTTCAATTCAGCTTTAGTTTAGGACACTTCTACACAAAAATAGATCATTTAAGGCACATAAGAACGCAGCTGAAGAAAGAAGGAAATAAATTTTTTTAAACAAATAGATAATTTATCCGTAATACGTCAAAATATAGTGCGCTCATGCAAGGAAGCAACCGAACTGTGTATCATTCATTTGTTCCACCAGTGCACGAATGGTACCTCGGGCTAGAATAACATTAGTCAACTATCCAGATCCACAATGGACGAAAGATGATGCAGATATAATGTAGTAAATTACCGAGCCATCTGAGACCCCTGAAAAGTGAAAGGGGGCGGACTGGATAAGACGAGGTGGGTGGGGAGACTACAGATTCTCCAGGGAGGAGGTATGGGAAGAGGTTCAGCCTAATTTCACAGCATAACATTAGCGGTGTTGTCGTAACCTGGGCTTGATTAGGAATTTTGGTAGTACCACTTGACCTACTTTCTTGCGTTCTTTATCGTTAGTGAACGCCGAACGCCGCTTGCCCATTGAGCTCCAGTGAGGTAGGAGATATGTCAACACGGAAATGGAGATACTCCACCTCGGGCACCTGTGAACCGCCCACTTGTGTCCGTGGGTACAGCGCCACACTGTCTTTGAACGTGAGGTTGAGAAAATTGAAACTGAACGAGAGATCATGCATGACTTCATTGTTAGATCTAGATGCGATGTTTGCCGCTAGAACCACAGCTATTTCGTCACCTTACAATGCATAATATTTGCATATGTACTTATTAAATGTTTCTTATGTATACCTAAGACGCACAGGCTCAAAACAGACGCAGCAGAAGACAGGTCAAGGACACTCTTTCAGAGAACACGAATAAAAGTGTTGGCAGGGTAGTTTGAAAATTCTTATTCCCTGTCTAGCCAACTGTTCATTTTATTTTTGTATGAGTTTGTGTGATCTCAAGTTAACATTCAACCTACAACGTTTCAAAGGTAGGGAGGGCACTCGGCAAAGACTTGGTGAAAAGAAAACAATGAAGAAGAAAAAGAAAGACAACAGAGCCGATTGAGTAAATACAGAGTATGACCAGCATATGAGCAAATGTGACGTTACCACATTTAATGATTCGCACCTTGTGTTGGTGAGCAGTGGGTCTACGAGTTGTATTTATTTTTACCCAACCTCCTGATGGAAGTCGTGAATAGCATGTAAACACCCGACATTTACAACGATAGCGGAGTAGGGGCAACTGGGTTTAACGTTAGATGTCTTGAGCCTCACCTTGCAAAACATGTTTTAATGTGGATCTTTAAAACAACACTCAAATGATACTCCAGAAGTCGGTTAATGAAACCGGGAAAGGCAAATATATTGCTGAGCAGAAGTGGAACGATAAACACGAAGACAAAACGAGGCATACACAGTGTACACAGCTCATAGAAGTGCAATGCAATTAATGATCGACAAAATTCAGCGAGATAGCTTCAGCTCTTTTTTGTGAAACAAGGTCTTTACAATAAGTGAATTTCAAACGTAAAGTTTGCCCTTGTTCTGCAACGTTCAAACCAAACGCTCCTTATCTCATAGAAAGAGTCAGGCATAAAATTAAATACACTTAACTTTCCAGATGACGGTGTTTGGAGATGAGATCAGCTTTATTGGCGGGCATTACGACTGGCGGCCTTGAATTTTACAGCCATTGTGGATCAAGTTGACTATTAAGTTGGATTGGGGAGAAAATCATTCCGTGAAAGTTCCCACAATAGATGCGGGACTCTAAAGCATGAGAAGTGGTCTTACCCACAGTGGGAGGCAATGTCATAAAGGGTTAGAAGGAGATAAGAATATGTGAATCCTTACGCACTATAACAGCCAAGAAATGAGCTAACAGGTTTGACTTCGCTGGCTCACAAAGCCCCTTTAACTAGAAATAACCCTCCGAGTAAATGCAGAACTCGAAACTCTGTACATCATAGGAGAAAACTGAAAGTTGGAATTTCCAAAGGATCGTTTTCACTTCAACTTTGAATTTATGTGACACAGAGGGCCTTCATAAAGGTGTGAAGGAATGTATTGAAATAACAGTCACCCAAAGCGTATTACATTGAAAGGTGTGTACCGAAGGAGGATTCTGTCACTAAAGTACTGTATTGTTTTGTTTCTTCTCCCGTCATATTAAAGATGCTTCTGCTGTTACGATCATAACAGCAAACGTTGCTTCTGATGGTGTTCACATTGACGATACGTTATTTTGTAATTCTTATCTTCACTGACAGAAAATAATTACATTTAAAATATATGCCAAGCCACAAGTGGGTTATGCTCAAGCCTTAGTTGTCTAGTGTGTTATTTTTGTAAAGTATGTGTTTCTCGAGGACATTTCTTTAGACAGGCTTCGACCCTGCCTGTCAGGGCCAACCTAGGCTAAGAGGGGTGCGCCATCGATAAAAACTTTCCCCATTCGAGAATCAAACCCGGGTCTTCTGCACGCGACAGCGAGGCACCTAACCGCTACACCATAAGCGCCGGTGTATCAATCCATACCACCATAACACAAAGCCACTAACCAATAAAATAATGATAATAAGGTTTTAAAGAAAGATCTGCCAAGATGGAAGCAGCTTCAGAAGTCCAAGGGCTACGGAGCTCAAGATAAAAAAAAAATCAAACAGTGCTGGTGACGTGATTTTGTAATGGGTGATTAAAAGGGACAGGACTGTCCTGGAGCCAGTAACGATAATATTATTACAAGCCCCCGAACCACGGACTGTGTTTTTCCGACCAGCATCGGTGTACATTGTATTTGTGAAAATGTATTGTGAGAGATGTTCAAGTCTCGCGCTACGGTTTTAACCATACTCATGCCCCCTCCCCCCACCACCCATTTGCATTGAGAAGAAAAAAGACCTGCACCAATTAATACATGCTGTCAGCTGGTTTGACTGCCTGTTTTGGAGAAAAGAGCCACTGCAAGGGTTCTCTTACATTCTGAGAACCGAACGCACCACCTTGTACCTTTTCATGTGAGTATTCCGACCAGGACACGGGGCGCTCCCTGCCTCGCCTGATACGCGACTGAATCACTTCGTCATACGTGGGCAGTGGCGGTCTTCCTCTGATGTCCGTGTCCGTTCTCACACTTCTGACGTCATCGTCCTGGTCACCACATACAGGTATAAAGTGGCGACCCCAACGGCGGGGCGGGATCGGGGGTGGAGAGGAAGCCGGGGAAGGCGCACCGGACGACGGAGGGGGCGGGGCTACGGGGTCCACCTGGCACTTGCCCTTCTTCCAGGAGATGCTGGCGTACACGTAGGAGGATGACGTCATGGTTCTGGAGCGCGTCACCGTGGCGTAGATGTGCGAGACTTCCAGGCTCTGGTTGGTCAAGCTTTCGGTACCCACGCTTTCCAAGCTTTGGTCCAAGCTGTACTCGGAGGCTGTCGTGTAAGGTTTGCTGAACTCTGAGCAGCTGGACACTGGCCGAGACTGGTCCGTGAGCATACTCTGGTACAACGGGTTGGAGTACGGGCAGTACTGAGAGCCCATCGGTTTTCTGATAGGGTCACGTGACCGGGGACAAGCTCCCACAATGTATTTGTTCCCCTCTGGATGCTGCGGATAACCAATCGGTCTATACAGAGAAATTGTACTGTCACTAAAACATTCTGTACGGGAGTCGTTAACACTGCGGGTTGGGGACTTCGGCCTAACGTATCTATTGGGCTCTGGTTGGTAGCAGCCTATGGGTTTATACAAAGCCACGGCGCTGTCGTTGAAACTGTCAGAGCGTGATTCATTAACGCTACGAGTCGGAGACTTCGGTCTGACATATCTGCTGGGCTCTGGCTGGTGGTAGCCCATCGGTTTATACAGAGCAACTGTGCTATCGCTGAAGCTGTCGGATCTCGAGTCGTTGACACTGCGTGTCTCAGACTTTGGCCGCCGAAAGGCGCTTCTCTCTCGATTGTCCAGTTTAGCGATCACTGACGCGGGTCTCCGCTTCTCAGACGCGGCCGCGATGGAAGCGCCGTGCCAAGAAGACGGTGGAGCAGACACCGGGCGGTTGGGGTTCCTGTCCTGGTCGTGACGTCGTAGCTGCGGCTTGGTGGCTGTGTAAGTCTTTACGCTGACTTCTGCTGGCTGTGGGTGGACCTCCACCGACGCCTCCTCGTACGGGAATGGTGCTACGGGTCTTCGCGGGAGGCGGGGAGGAGGAGCGGGGGGCTGCTGCTGTTGTTGTCGATCCCGAAGCTGTCCCTGACTTCGGAGTCTCAGGCGGTGTTTGAGCGCCTCATAAGACAAACAGTATGGGTCGCTGTTCGGATTCGGATCTTGGAAACTCCGGATCAGGCCATGATCATACCCGTCATGAAACCGGGCAGGGGAGCGAGGAATGAGACCAGAATCCGAATCATCTCTGTTGTCGGATGAATGATAGGAATGGCGGCGG